TTCTGATGAAGGGTCTAGGCCTGAAACGTCAGCCTTTCTGCTCCTATGATGCTGCTTGGCCTGCTGTGTTCATCCAGCCCTGCACCTTGTTATTTAAAATACAACTTGAATTGAAGCATCTTTTGCCAACAATAAGTTGCAGCCAAAGAATAATGCATAAAGCTCAGATACTACATCACATAAGGTGAGGGCACGTAGTGCAGTGGTAGTGTCCTTATCTCTGAGCCAGGAGGTCTTGTTTCAAGTCCCATCTGCCACAGAGGTATATAGTACCATCAGCAAACAGGCTGATCAGAAAAAATACTTAGTATATCATATGATGCTTTGGAATTCCAAATACACTAAAGCTCTTTGGACATTTTTAGATGGTAGTATCATATATCTACTATCTGTGCTTAACCTAATTTGAATATTAATGTAATCATTCAAATGAACCCCAATATCCAAGTTAAATTGTCTACACAATAATAAGTTAGCAATTGCCTCAATTTGTCCTTATTCTTATTTTCCTAAATTCTCAGCTTTTAATAAATTGGGAAACTGAACCTTTACATTTTTTTTTAATTCATTCTTGGGATGTGGGCATCATTGACATCTCCAATTGCCTACAGGCCAGTTGAGAATCAAGTACATTGCTGATGGTCTGGTGTCACATACAGACCACACCACATAAGAATGGAAGATTTTCTTCCCTAAAAGATATTAGTGAACTAGATCGGTTTTTATGACAATCAGCAGTGCTTACATGGTTACAATTAGAATCATGGAATAGAATCCCTACAGTGTGGAAACAGGCCCTTCGGCCCAACAAGTCCACGCCGACCATCAGAGCATCCCCCCCAGACACATCCCCCTATAACTCACCTAATCTACACATCCCTGAACACTACGGACAATTTAGCTTGGCCAATCCACCTAGCCTGCACATCTTTGGACTGTGGGAGGAAGCCGGAGCACCCGGAGGAAACCCACGCAGACACAGGGAGAATGTGCAAACTCCACACAGGCAGTTGCCCGAGGGTGGAATCGAACCTGGCGCTGTGAGGCAGCAGTGCTAACCACTGAGCCACTGTGCGCCCCAATTAAGTGAGCTTTTATTCAAGATTTTATTCAATTCAAACCACATCATCTGTCATGGTAGGATTCAAACCCAATGTCCCCAGAACAATAGTCAGGGCTCTGGATCACTAGATCGGTGACATTACTATTTTGCCACTACCTCACGTATCAAATTGAATGAGTTGTTAGCTCTCCAGTTGCCGACTTAAAAGGTTGTACGTTCAAGCCAAATTTCAGGACTGGAACAGATAGCCTTAGTTGACAACAATGCAATGTGAAAGACCGCTTTATTGTTGAAAGCAAGATCATTTGAATGAGTCATTAAGTTGAGGATCAGAGTGCTTGTTCATGCTAAAGATCCCACTGGAATATCTAAGAGCAAGGAGTTCTTCCTGTGTTCTGGCCAACATTTCTCCCTAAGCCAACATCACTGAAAGCAAGCTAGTCTATCATTTAACTTTTTATTAATGAGCACTACATTTGCAATTTGGCTGTTTTGGCCTAATTAAAAAGCATTTTTTAAATGTGAAGAACTTACACATGTTTTAAGGATATGCTACAAAATTAATACAGCTCTTCATCCTACTATGTCTGTGTTGGATTTGACCTAACTGGAACAAGAAACAAATTAGAAGATAAATGGCTTTATAAGTGCGCAACCAATCTACATGGTTACCTGGTTTACAAGAAGATAGGGACCAAACAGCCTGTGAGCCTATCTCACGCACTGTGCCAGTTCTTTCCAACTGTTTTGGATCTTCTCCAGGTGGAGTTTTACTTGGGGTGGTCATTATTTTTTATTCTTGATCTGCAAAATAGAACATAATTTGATTGAAAGACAACAATTGAAAAACCAATGAACTCCTTTATTATAAATATGTAAATGAGATACACATATATGTCAAACATGGACAGCCTGCTGACCCTTGGCTCCATTCAGTCAGTGGGGTCGTCTGATCCGGTAAGTGGTAGATGCGCCACCGAAGGCAGCTCCCGACATCTGGTCAATCATTATTAGAGGTCATGAAAAGAAAATGTTGATCCCCGAGATCTTCAGGCGAAGTACTTCATGGACAATGAAAATATTTCCTGATAAGTTGGAGTCAGCCGATGATCAGGAACTGTACATGGGCTTCCCTTGGGAAGTGAAGCCTCCATGTTAATGGGATGAATGACAGAGGATAAGCAGTGGAGAAAACAATGAGTGCAAAGTAAGTGTATATATAAGATTACAAATACATTTTAATTTGCCTTTTTAAAATGCATCAAACTTCAGATTAAAGAGCAACAGAATGGATAAATTTCAAGAGGCTGGCTTGTCACAACACAATTAAGTGTCAGAAAGCAAAATGAATTTGCACTGCTATCCTCGGGGAATGTTCTCCATCAGCATTTGTTACGAAGTTGGGTAGAGTATTCATGAATTGGAAGGTAGGAAGTCAGAATTTGTTGGCAAAAATGATCGTCGGGAAGAGTGCTGTGGTACCTTTAAGAGCTTGTGCTTTGTTTGTGCTTGCAAGTTTATAAATGCAGGTGCACAGAGAGTGCCCGAATGGAAACATTTTGCATAGAATAGCCAAGCAGCACTTTTTCCAAGACAAGTTTGATTTTGGCCAATTAATTTTAACAAAGCACCTAGAAACAGAAAACCAATTGAATTTCAATCTGATGGTGTTGACAATCTGAAACTAATCATACTATAAGAATTTGATTATGTCATTATGGATATATAAAATGAGGGCATTTGGAAAATCGGGGACAGCCATCTGCCAGAGTTAGAACCATTCAGCTTTCAGAGAAAGCCCATATAATTAATCAAAGGTACCACGGTATTTTAGCTCAAAGTTCTCCATGAGGAAATTATAGAGGTAAAACATCCCTGACAGCAGAATTAACAGAAGAAAGGCGTTTGTGAAGACAGCGAAGACAGAATATTCCAGAAGACAGTCTGCGCGAACTTGGAGAGATTACATTATAATTCATTGTTCTCTTATAATTGGGTTTATTAAGTGGGACTTGTGTTTATTTGAACAGTATTCCAGCGAATTTATACCAGTTAGGAAGTAGTTAATAGTCTAAGTGGGAATTGTCAGTTTGTTAGTAATTCTGTTAATTTGTTCATTGTTGGATTAAATAAATAGTTTCTTGTTACTTGTAAAATGGACATCAGGGATTTTCTTCCTTTTAACCACTCTTCCAATAGATTACGAGGGGAAAGGCAAGCTTCTCTGGGTGTTTCAGGGGTAATTTTTAGAGAGGAACCCCTACTCCTGTCATAGCAGATTGGGGCTTGTGTTATGGTTTAACTATCGGGGAGATTCAGCTATTACCCCTCCATAACAAATTCCACTAGTTTTTCCAATATTCCAACCATCACAAAAGTGGATAGAAATTCCAGTGTGGATAACAGCACTACCTACTGCCTAGAACTAAAATAATACGCTTGAGTTGTCAGCTTACATCACAGAAATAAACAAAGAAAGAACTGAAATTATATTGTGCTTTTCACCAGATGTCACAAAGTGTTTTACACTCAAAAAATGCTTTCGCAATGTAGGAAACACGGCAACCCATATGCACACAGCAAACTCCCATAAACAGCAATATGATAATGACTAGACATTCTGTTCTTCTGATGTCGATAATTATTGGCCAAGGCACTGAGGTTAACTCCTCTACACGTCTTTCAGATCGTTTACATACAACCAAACAGGCAAATAGAACCTCAGTTTAAAATTTTCATCTGAAAGACAACACCTCGAACAATGCCCCACACACTCAGTGCTGCATTGGAGTGTCAGCTTTAAGCTTCATACACAAGCCCTGGAATGGGATTTTTTTGTATTCATCCATGAGATGTGGACATCACTGGCTGGGCCTGCACTAATTGCTCATCTCCAGTTATTTAGAGAGTAGTTAAAAAGTCTACCATGTTGCTGTGGGTCTGGAGTCATTTATAAGCCAGACCAGACAAGGATGGCAGATTTCCTTTCCAAAAGAACATTAGTGAATGAAATGGATTCTTTTTCCCAAAAACAATCAACAGTACTTACAATTGGTTGCCATTAGGCCAGCATTTTATACTAGATTTTCTTTTAAAAATTGAATTCAAATCTCACCTGGCGTCATGGCAGGATTCAAACCCATATCCCCAGAACATTAGCCTGGGCTTCTAGATTACCACTATGCCATTGTCTTCCTCAAAAACCAAAACCTGGAATCTTGTGACTCAGAGGTTAAAGTGCTATCCAGCAGTGTCAACTGATAAAGCATTAAATATTCTCTATTTAAACTTGTTGAGGCATGTTAAGGCATACCTCTGGAGTAGGTTCAACTTGAACGCCGGTGCTTTTTTTAAAAATTGAACCCATTTTTCTAATCAACCTTTCCAGAGACGTTATTACACACCTCTGGAGCAGGTTGGACTTGAACCCAGGCCTCTTGGTCAAGGGGCAGGGACACTACCATTCCACCACAATGCCTACTGGGCTAGTAATACCTAACAATTGCAGATGTTAAAGTAGATGCAGTTATTGGTTACCCTGACAGTCTTCCAAAAATTGCTATTATGTCTTCACCTTGGGTAACAAACATGGTGCATGATCAACAATCATGCATATCATATCAGAATTTAAACTACTTTAGTTAACGCTAGTTGACCAGGGTAATAGTCAACCAAACCAAAAAAAAAGATCAAAAGAAAAAGTTACTGAGATAGGACATTGTTGTTTTAACCTTAGGTTGTAAACTCACTGCAAAGTTTCAATTCAGTCAACTAATTAGCCACAAAAGACCAACATATTTGCATCATATTCAATCCAAAACAGTTTTTTTTTCTAATCAACCTGTTCAGAGATGTTACTACACACCTCTGGAGGAGATGGGACTGGAAGCTGGGCCTCCTGGTCCAGGGGGAGGGAGACTACCATTGCATCACTATTGAATGACTAACTGGAATGGAAACACCTAAAATGAACAGAGTTTTCAATTAGGATCAAATTTTCTTGGCATGACATCTTATTAAAAGCAAAGTGAATATTGAATCAGTGATTAACAGCTGCAGCAGGTTTGAAAACTGCATGCTATTTTACAGAAGAATGAGAGCAAATTAAAATTGTTTTCTCAATAAATGGAAAATTATTAAATCAATGGCATCTATATTATTGTCACAAGAACATAAGAATTTACAAAAATGATTTAGATGAGAATATAAAAGGCATGGTAAGTTTGTGTATGACACCAAAATTGGTGATTTGTTGGTTAAGTGAAGAAGGTTACATAAGATTACAAGGAGAACTTGATCAATTGGGTCAATGGGCTGAAGATTGGCAGATGGAGTTTAATTTAGATAACTGTGAAGTATTGCATTTTGGTAAAACAAACAAGGGCAGGACTTACACAATCATAAGTATGGCCTTGGGTAGTGTTGTGAAACAGAGGCCTAGGGGTTCAGGTCCATAATTCTTTGAAAACCTTCATTGTCTATTATGCAACTAATTTTGCTGTTGTCCACAAACTTACTAATCACACCTTCTATACTTTCATCCAAATTATTTACATAAATGACAAACAAAAGAGTACCCAGAACCTGTGGAACACCACTCTGTCTCCGTTAAGCCAATTATGAATCCCATCTGACCTAACTTTACTGATTAGTGCACCATGAAGAACCTTGCCAAAGGCTTTGCTAAAATCCAAATAAAAAACTGCTTTGCCATCATCGATCTTTTTGGTAACTTCCTCAAAAAACTCAATGAAGTTTGAGAGACACGATTTTCCTCACATAAAACCATGCTGACTATCCCTGATTAATTTTTGCCTC